CCCCCCCCCCCCTAGAAAAACCTTGCTGGATCCACCCTTGTCTGGAAAATCGGTATCCAGCACATCCATACACTGTATATATTATTAAGTGACAAATTATTTAAGACAGAAAAACAATATTTTAAGGTAATTCAAATTGTAAACCTTCATAAAGTTGTATTGTCTATTTTTATTATTATAATGAACTCATGACAACAATATACAGGAGATTGTGCTTTGTATACCGGTAAAATAATTTAATATACAACTGTTCTGAACGTTTTTATTCTTAACTTTATATCTGCTTGTTTTATGTCAATATATTTTGACATATGCCAGTTATGATAATAAAGTTTTTAATACGAAAAGTTATAGTTGACAGTTGTGTTGGGGAAACCCAAATGCATTCCATTCACCCAAATGAAAACTAACTACAAATTGACCTTTATTAGAATGGTAAATCAGCGCAAAATCCTTCGTTTCAGAGACCAACAGTTTTGTCAAGTGATCCTTGCGATTTCCCCTCAATCTCCGTTCCAGGTAACCTGATACCTCTGTCATACTCAGGGCACTGAGGAATTCTTTAACTGCCAAAATGGACTGAAAAGATACAACTGTCATTTTCTTGCTTTCAACGACATAGCAATTCGGATCGCAGAATAATGGCCTTCGGCAACTTTTGATTGCTCGAACTAAACACCTAAACATTTCCTCTGTATATCACGCCCTATTTGAGAAAAGAAAGGCCGCCTTATGTTTCGTCTTCCGGCCAAACGCCGGTGGATGGCTTTTAGCCATAAATACGACTCTCCTCTAAAAACCTTCCCAGCATTTATGTTCAATGAAAACAGCATGCGAGGGATGCCAGGCTCGCTTATTTCAGGTAGTGTTAGGACGTTACTGCTTTCGTCGTCGTTTTCGCTTCTTATCTGCTCTTGATTTGTGTCAGCATTTGTTCAATACTTCTTCCACGCTTAACTTCGCCGCCATTTTGAAATTGTTTCTATGGTCACCAGGTGTCGCACATGGATAAAAGGGAACATAATTGGGGGAAATACCGCTGCTCGCAAGCACTGACAATTTGGCGATTTTCTCGCCACTTGTGCCCGGCGTGATTGTACAGAATTTTAAACTTGGACAATTTTTCGCATGCAAAAAATAGGCTTTACTTCAATTTCAAAATTCGCATTTTGCTAGCTACATGGATCCGGATAAAACGACTATAATCTAAAGCATCTACAATGTCCCAACTTCCAAAAACCGCAATAAAATTTTTGGGCTACTGAAAAGATGCGATTTGAGAGCCCTCGTAAAATCCACTTGAAAGGTCAAAAAGGTCGTTGCGTAATGACCGACGAACTCACATGTTGAAAGGATAAAAATCAACCACACATTGGAATCGTCACAAAATGCTCCCTATTTTAAATATATGAATCGTAATAAACTAAATAATAGAATAGTAAAAGTTTCACACACTCTCGAGAGGAAAAAACATCGCTTAATAGCATATTCTTTCAGTATTTAGTCGCCACATTACAACTTGCCGACTTTGATATTAAATCAGCTATCACATTATAAACAGTTCTCCTCGCTAAAATTGCAATTAATTGTAACAATTTACCTTTAGTACTTGTGCTTTATTTGAACCAGGGCAGATACTGCGGACAAATCACTGTATTAAGCTGTTTTATATGCATATTTCTCACTAACTTTGGTCAACAGTATTTACTTTGTAAACAAACAGGTGAAGTATATTAAATATATCGTGTTATGCACAGACAACTCAATCTTCTTCAAATTAGACCCCTTACTGCATACCGCAGTTGCAATGAGAAGATGACTTCTTGTGGATTCAAATCTTTAGTTGGTAGTCCTTGCGGCTCTAGCAAGTATCAAAAACAAGCCAGTGAGAGTATAATTCTGTTGAAGTGTGCCAAGGATATCAAAGGTCATCTAAAAAGATTGAATACTTACGACTCGAGCTTGAAAAAGGAAGCAACATCAACATTAATCCTTGCTCGCGCAGGTAAGTGCAATAATATGTATGCTACATGTTAGCATTTGCAAGCTTTGTGGTGAACTGTTCAGTTTCACGCTTTCAGACTTGCAATAGCTATTAGACATTGCTTTTTGCTGTTGTTTTCTCATTCATGTATCAGAATCATTACTTTCCTCATAATAGTCATAATCAATACTGATCTTTATCCTCATCATCAACAACTGTATTTGTCTTCTTAGGTGTGTTCGATGTAGATGAATCTGACCTTCATTTAACGATCTGTCCACCCCACAGAGATGAGTATGGTATCAGGTGGCTCACAAGCAAGAAAAATTGTGCTTGTCCTACTAATTGGGCTCCCCATAAAATAATGCAACGAAGAGGTGATCGTGGGATAACACTTCAACAATCTCGTCTGTTATACGTTTATACCTCAACAGTTGTACCAGTTGCTTCGCGTAAGTATAACATGTTGACCACACATTGTCGTTCACTGGCTTAATTAAATGATCTATTTCTTTTCAAAGCAATTTGCAAGAGATGTCGAATTTTTTTGTGAAAGAGTCCATCACCAAATACCTCCTTGACTGAAGAGCAAGAGCAAACAGACATATTCACTACAGAATTATCAGAAGAACATCCAACTCCCAGCATTGGTGAACCATCGACTTCTTATCTTGTACGTTGAAGAATTTATATAATTTTGTTGTTCCTTACAAACTATGGGGTGCCATATCCGCCAAAATTAATATAAATACGATATTATTAATTATTTTTCATATTATTATTCAGAATATTTTTATTATTATTAGAATATTTTATTATTATTAAGCTTATTTTTGTTATTATCCAGCTTATTTTTGTTATTATCCAGCTTATTTTTATTATTATTCAGCTGATTTTGTATTATTCAGCACATTTTTATTATTATTCAGCATATTTTTATTATTATTCAGCTGATTTTTATTATTATTCAGCTTATTTTTATTATTCAGCTTATTTTTATTATTATTCAACATATTTTTTATTATTATTCAGTTTATTTTTATCATTCGGCTCATTTTTATTATTCAGCTTATTTTTATTATTCAGCTTATTTTTTATTATTCAGCTTATTTTTATTATTCAGCTTATTTTTATTATTCAGCTTATTTTTATTATTCAGCTTATTTTTATTATTCAGCTTATTTCTATTATTCAGCTTATTTTTATTATTCAGCTTATTTTTTATTATTCAGCTTATTTTTATTATTCAGCTTATTTTTATTATTCAGCTTATTTTTATTATTCAGCTTATTTTTATTATTCAGCACCAATTTTTCATTAGCCAGAGGTCTGTGACTAGCGCGGCCATGTGGACCGGAAGTCATTGAAAATTCACTTTTCAGCACACGTTCAAAATGGCGGAAAATTATGTTGGTGATAACTTGAATTTGAGAGAAATGGTGTATAGAAAACTGTGTTCTGTGGAGCAACTACTTACAGAGCAAACCAATAATAACTTGTTAGATATACCTAGTTTTTTAGAAACAATTGAAACGTTATGCAATGTGTTGTTTTGTTGGACTCTTTTGAAACAGTTTCAGAAAATGTTATGTGTTGTTTAATGCAAGCACATAACCTGCTGTCGAGGAACACTAACGATATCAGAAGAAATAACAATCAAGCACAGCTCAATGATGGCACAAGTTCGGTTGGTCGTCCTTCGTTAATTATTTCAAGGGAGCAAGTCGAGTATTTGATGGATTGCAATTTCACAGTCAAAGAGATGAGTGACATACTCGGCGTATCCAAAAGAACAGTTGAAAGAAGAATGAGTCAATATCAGCTAACAAACATGAATAGGTTCACTGCAATAAATGATGAGCGATTGGATGCCATAGTGAGTGAAATCAAAAGCTCGTCACCGGATTGTGGTTCCAAATTATTATCTGGATATCTTCGAGCAAGAAATATCCATGTTCAAAGAAGGCGTGTTAGGGAATCCCTAACTAGGGTTGACCCATTGGGTATTCAAGCTCGGCGTTGTAGAACAGTTCATCGAAGGGTCTATAATGTTTCACGTCCTCTTGCTTTATGGCACTTTGACGGAAATCATAAACTAATACGCTGGCGCTTGGTTGTGCACGGATGTGTTGACGGGTATACCCGCATACCTGTGTACGTAAAGTGCAGCAACAACAATAAGGCGAACACTGTTCTAGCACTTTTTGTAAAGGCTGTAGATGATTGGGGCCTCCCATCAAGAGTGCGATGTGACAACGGAGGAGAGAATGTCGATGTTACTCGTTATATGATTAATCATCCGATGCGAGGGCCAGATCGTGGGTCTGCAATAACTGGCAAAAGTGTACACAATCAGCGGATAGAGCGGCTGTGGCGTAATGTCTTTCAGGGAGTGTTGAAACCGTTTTACATTCTTTTCTATTTAATGGAAGATTATGGCATACTAGATCCTTGCGACGAAACTGACCTATGGTGTCTTCATTATGTATTTTTGAAGGAAATAAATGATTGTTTATCTCGTTGGGTTGAAGCATGGATACGACATCCACTAAGAACTGAGCACA